ACCGAGACACTTTTTTTTTTCTATAATAGTAAAATGACAGTATTCTTACATTCAACCTGTATTTAGAGTGTTTGTGTCCTGCTAATTTTGGGACGCTAAAATGACTATGTTGTCTGCGTCTAATCTTAGTTTTGCGACTGAACTTGGGATCATTTTTCTCCCACTTAATAACATCTTTATTGTTTTTTTTTTTCCTTTGAAACTAACTGTTAACCCAAACTGAGTTGTTCATTGTGTTGTGCCTACTCACTCCAGATCAGTATCTTCATGACCCATCTGTCAAACTACGGCAACGACCGGCTAGGTCTTTACACATTTGAGTCCCTGGTAAAGTTTGTCCAGTGTTGGACTAACCTTCGGCTGCAGACGCTGCCACCTGTGCAACTGGCTGAAAAATACTTCCAGATCTTCCCCGAGGAGAGAGACCCACTCTGGCAGGTTAGTGTACGGATGGTATTTCTTAAGAGAGATCATACTGTATTGTTACTCCCAAACAATTTTCAGCCGCAGCACAAATTTTACATTAGGCCGACCGATATTTTTGGCATGATGTTAGCATAATTATGTAACATCTGAAAGAATTGTTGTTGATTTTGCTGCTGATTTTACATTTACTGCAGTTTTGGAGGTAAACCGCTGCATATAGATAGTTTTCCAATGATGTCACGCGACTACCCATAGTTCCGTAGTCCACCATCTTGTGCGGCAAAAGAGTTTATAGATAGATATTAAATACGGATGCTATGGCTTTTACATATTAACCGTGCTAATTTTCAACCCAGAGCCAAGCAAACGGCATTACCGAGTCTGTTCTGAACACTTTATTTTTCGGGTAATTACATTATACTTTTTTAATTTAATTCATGTGTTTAATGTCAATTAAAATTCAAATATATCAAAATGCACTTTGCATACGTGACAAATGCACACAATGCAAACGTAAATCCTCCATGTAAACTGTTATTCTGAGGATGTTTACAAAAGACAAAAGTACATCCATACGTGTCACTGTGAGTTTTACATTAACACGCTGTATAATATATTACAGAAGACGTACATCCGTACATGTCACTGTGAATTTTACATTAACACGCTGTATAATATATTGATATTTGATGTGATATTTGTATTAACAAATATTTACAACATATTTAATATTTACAAATAATATATTTACAAATAATATTTATTTGCAAATTATTTGTAAAATTATTATTGAATTATTATTTGTTTGTTTGTTTAAACAAACAAATTAAATTGATTAAATTAATTTAAACAAAAAAATTAAATTGATTAAATTATTATTTGTTTGTTTGTTTGTTAAATTATTATTTGTTAAATAATAAATTATTATTTATTTAATTATTAAATTATTATTTGTAAACACATATTTACAAATTATAACAAATATTTGTATTAACGAGTACTTGTGTTAACAAATACCGCATGTGGCGCTTTGGCCCAGAGGCAGTGTCTCTGTCATTGGTGTGGAACCCCAGGGTTCACCTCCTGGGTTCGAATCCCGGTTAGGGCGGTTAATACCTTTCAGTGGACTCACCACCCGCAGGAAGGTTTGGGGGGGTTGCAGTGTGATTTTGGGTGGGGACTGTTGCCCCCGCGACCCGGTAATGGATAAGCGGATGAAAATGGATGGATGGAATATTGCATGATATACTGTACGTTATCTGGCTAATTTTCAATGTCCGTCCGCTTCCACTCAGCTTTGTTGACTTTGTATAGGTCTTTTCCATCCGTTATTTTCAACTTGTCCAAGTGTCTTGCCTTTGTAATTGTGTCCAGTTAATCTCTATACAACAATTTCGTCCGATTGACCTCCGGCGATTTTAATATTCTTGTCTTTTGTTGTCATTATCCATTGTTTACGTCTACCCATTCGCGTCTTTTGCCGCACAACATTGGCCAGTGGCGCGATGCATCATGGGTAATAACGATTGTCGGAAAAACCATCTATATTGGTATCGGTTGATATCGGTCTAGGAAATTAAGCTCTCTGACAATATCAGCATATTGGATATTAGCAAAAAGCTAATATCGGCCATCCCTAATTAGAATAATCCGACGGCACACCACCAAACAAAAATGTTTATGGTTGGAAGTCACCGATTTAGGTACAACATTGTATTGTATGTAAAACGTGTTTCTTTGATGAGTGTGTTTTAAAATTTCCGTGCCTTCGCACTTTTCAGAATCCTTGTCACGATAAAAGACACAAAGATATCTGGTCAAAAGAAAAGACTTGCGATCGACTTCCCAAGTTCCTTGTTGTCGGACCACAGAAAACAGGTATCAAACTCCGAAATCCATCAGCTCACCTCTCTCCTTTGTTCAAACTTGGGTGTAACCAGTTCCATTGCTTTGTCTTTCTCTAAGGCACTACAGCGCTTCATTCATTCCTCAGCCTCCACCCAGCAATTACCAGTTCTTTCCCCAGCCCTGTCACTTTTGAGGAGATTCAGTTCTTCAGTGGAGCCAATTATGACAATGGAATTGACTGGTACGTTCACGCAGCTTCGGTTGTGCACCATGTCGTCAGGAAGTGATTCACGAAAAAGTCACAATGCTAGAGACCGGCATGACTAGGTATTGGTGTACCGCAATTTCCGGACTGTTGAGAGCACATAAATATAAGCCACGCCCACGAAATTTAAAAAGAAAGAAATAATCGGACATATATAGACCGCACTTCTCTGTAAGACACAGGTGGCCGTGTTTTAACATGGGATATTTACACAGAGATTACACAAGATTTTTTTTATTTTTTTTTTATTTTTAATTAAATAAATGCGTTTTTTCTCCCGATCAGTGCCTGTAACATGGCTGGGCACACGTTAGCTCTTTTCTGCTTTGGCGCCCTGACCATAGTTGGAATGCAGAGAGGAGACTTAGTGATCTGCTCCAGGGCTGAAGCTAACATTAGCTCCAGGGCTAACTCCCTTCACTTTGTGCTTGTCCGCAGCAGAGGTAAACAGAAACAGGGAAGTTGGGGTCTTTATTATCAGCCACTCCAACCACAACAGAACATAAACAGCTCCTGTATAACCAACTCACGCTTCAACATGACAGGACTCAAACTGCTCTCAACTTTCGCTACCGTTCTCTTCCTCGCTCCACGCTCATATACAGTAGGTACGGGAGGTATTCAGACCCCTTTAAATTTGTCACTCTTTGTTTCATTGCAGCCATTTGCTAAAATCAAAAAAAGTTCATTTTATTTCTCATTAATGTACACTCAGCACCCCATCTTGACGGAAAAAAAACCAGAAATGTAGAAATTTTTGCAAATGTATTGAAAAAGAAAAATTGAAATATCACATGTGTACATTAATGAGAAATAAAATGAACTTTTTTTGATTTTAGCAAATGGCTGCAATGAAACAAAGAGTGACAAATTTAAAGGGGTCTGAATACCTCCCGTACCTACTGTATATGAGCGTGGAGCGAGGAAGAGAACGGTAGCGAAAGTTGAGAGCAGTTTGAGTCCTGTCATGTTGAAGCGTGAGTTGGTTATACAGGAGCTGTTTATGTTCTGTTGTGGTTGGAGTGGCTGATAATAAAGACCCCAACTTCCCTGTTTCTGTTTACCTCTGCTGCGGACAAGCACAAAGTGAAGGGAGTTAGCCCTGGAGCTAATGTTAGCTTCAGCCCTGGAGCAGATCACTAAGTCTCCTCTCTGCATTCCAACTATGGTCAGGGCGCCAAAGCAGAAAAGAGCTAACGTGTGCCCAGCCATGTTACAGGCACTGATCGGGAGAAAAAACGCATTTATTTAATTAAAAATAAAAAAAAAATAAAAAAAATCTTGTGTAATCTCTGTGTAAATATCCCATGTTAAAACACGGCCACCTGTGTCTTACAGAGAAGTGCGGTCTATATATGTCCGATTATTTCTTTCTTTTTAAATTTCGTGGGCGTGGCTTATATTTATGTGCTCTCAACAGTCCGGAAATTGCGGTACACCAATACCTAGTCATGCCGGTTTTAATATTTTAATTTTGATATTAAAATATTAAATTTAAATTAATAATTGAGTAAAAAAAAAAAGAATTTTTTTTTTTTGTTCCTTTCCTCTTTAGGTACATGGACTTCTTCCCATTCCCCTCCAATGTCAGCACGGATTTCATGTTTGAGAAAAGTGCGAACTACTTTGACACAGAAGTAGCTCCAAAAAGAGCTGCAGCTCTACTGCCCAGAGCCAAAATCCTGGCAGTGCTCATCAACCCATCAGATAGGGCTTACTCGTGGTACCAGGTTAGAAGACCCACAAATCAACCACTGTTTTATATTCTCCGTTTTCTTTTTTTGTACTATACTCAGTCAACTCTCTGTGTAAATGACAACAGCACCAGAGGGCACACCAGGACCCTGCAGCCCTCAACAATACTTTCCATTACGTGGTGACAGCTGGCCCCTCGGCCTCTAAGGACTTGCAAGTTCTTCAGAGACGCTGCCTTAACCCAGGAGCTTACGCTACTCACCTGGAGCACTGGCTTCAACACTACCAGCCCAGCCAGGTGACCGCACAGCACAGATACTGTTGAACATAAATATTTGTATCCTCATATGCATATTTGAAGTATATTTAGTATGTTTCATTCATATTTCCATAATTTGGATTTCTGTATTATTCCAGAGATATTACCAGAATTTTTTTTTAGTAGGAGTAGAGTAGTATTGCACAGTTCAGTAATGCAACACTGAAATTGGCATGTGTGGCATGTGGTTCCGTTATGTGTTTAGTTACACGTCGTCGATGGTGCTCTCCTGCGAACCAACCCAGCACTGGTGATGGATGGAATCCAGAGGTTTCTTGGCATTACCCCCATCTTCAACTACACCCAGGCTCTAATGTAATGCATGTTCACATACCAAAAAAAGAGAAAAAAAATCACATTTCTATACAGCTTAAAGTCACAGTGAGTCACCGTGACTTAATCAGGGACGACTAAGAACACTGAACTAAATTATCCATGTGTGCAGGTTTGATGACGGAAAAGGTTTCTGGTGTCAGCGAGGGGAAGGAGGTCGTCCTAAATGTCTGGGCAAGAGTAAAGGCAGGAAGTATCCAGACATGAATCCTGAGGTCCGTCCCCGTGACACGCTCTTAGTCCTCATTTTCATAGTTTTGTTCATCATTGTTATTATCACACTGCAGTTGTCTTTTTTTTTTTTTTTATGAAATAAGCATCAAACTATGTATTTAAAGGAAGTAGTGAGTCACACACACACATATATATATACATACATATACACATATATGTGAGAGCACCAGCTGGAGCTAATCAACACACACACATATATATATATATATACAGTATATGTATGTATATGTATATATATATATATGTATGTATATATGTATGTACAAATATATGTATATACATATATATACATATATCCATATATGTGTATATATATATGTATATGTATATATATACATGTATATGTATATATACACATATATACATATACATGTATATATATACATATATGTATAAATATATATGTATATATACATATATAGATATATATGTATATATATACATATATAGATATATATGTATATAAATATGTATATATATACATATATATGTGTATATATATATATGTGTGTGTGTTGATTAGTTGCTTTATGTGCTTTACAAGACTTTTCAGCATATAAAATATGTAAATGAATTTTTAAAAAAAGCCAAATTAGACGAATTGCTTTACTATCCGTCAAATATGCTAATATCGCTTTGATATGTATTAAAAATGCTTCTGTGTTGTAGTCGTGATCACATTGAAAATACAGGCAACATTTGAATCAATATCCCTCTATTAATTCTTTCACACTCAAATGCAGATCCAACACATGCTCTAACCCATCAGAATATTTTTTTCCCCTCAGGTATTTACCTTTTTTTTTTTGTGTACACTACAGTCCCGCATCTTTCTGGCTAACTACTACCGTGAGCATAACATGGAGCTGCTTCATCTGCTGAATCGTTTGGGTCAACCGCTGCCATCGTGGCTTCGCCAAGAACTGCAGAGCACCAGCTGGAGCTGAGACCGTCGACCCGCAGGTGCACAGACAGTTGCACTAAACAGAAAGTCTGACTGGAATCTGTGGAGGAGCCAACTGTTTGTTCTGGATTAGAATGGACTAACTAATCTGGAGTCTTAACAGCAGTATGTGCTGAAAGCTTGTGTGGACCCCGATGGACTCTCCTCCCAGCAGTCCACCTGTATTTGTCTGTATTCGTGGGTGAAGCGAAGCTGGGGCTTACTGCTGTCCAGAAGACGAGAGCAACGAGCAGAATGGTGTCATATTGAGCAAGATAGCGCACTGTAATGCAAGGTGTCACACCCCCAGGAGGAGGCAGTATCAGAGGTGAGGTGTATGATGACACACAGGACTAACACACAGACGTATGCATGTCTCGCCCGATCGCGAGAATGGCTGTGAAAATAGTCTTAGGATTTCTTTCCAAAGCAGCTGTACATGGAAGGTTTGGCAGACAGACATGTACATAGAAATACATTTCTTTGCAGATAGGCAATCCTTGGACACGTTCTCCACTCTCAAGATAGGTTTCGTTTGTATGTGGTCACAGGTCAATGTAAATACCATGGTTACATTTGGTACAGGTTTCGTCAATTCCTTGTGTGGTCAAGGCTGTGTTTACACCAACTCATAAAGTTGTGGGGTTTTTTTTTTTTCTTTTTGTTTTTATTATTTAAAAATGTATATTTTAGGGTCTGTGTCAGAGGTGAGCAGCAGCTGCCTTTTTCAGAACAGGAAAATTGAATATCACTTGCCCGATCACATGCACGTGCTCGAGTACGTGGTTTCCACTTCTGTGTTTTACTTTTTCTACTTACATGACATTTCTGTTTAAGAAACTCACTCGCGCTGGTTCAGTGAGGAAGTCGAGTGTATTCCCGGTTCTGCTTTGCGCACACTTAAAGCATGAGTTACCACCCACAGAGTGAAGCATTACTTAAGGTCCAGGTCGATTCAAAACGATACAAACGAGACATTTTTCCTTTTTTTTTTTTTAATCTATGTAGGTTTTGAAAAAACTGACTTTGTCGTGTCGTTTTTAACACGAGGAGAGAATGGCATGACACTACTGAGTCATTGATCTGCCCTTAAGGTGAGAGAATAGCTTTGGTATGAAGTAGTGTCAGCAATGTTACACAAAATCACACGAAATCATGCTTTATAAAAGTTACCGTGGATTTCGGCCTCTGTAACCGTTCAGTATCATGGTGTCGGTGAAATGAGTCTGCTTGTTTTTCCCAGAGTGTGGTGCGCTGCTGCAGTGAAGCATTGATTCCAATAAACATTGAACAGGTCAAAATTGTAAAGCTACAGCAGAGATGAAGTCATTTAGGTTCAATTTAGTGACATTGGAATGTAATGCTATCATCACAGTGCCCCCGTCTGTACAGCTGCTTCAACTATTTCTGATAGATTTTGTCAGACTCTTTTTTTTTTTCTTTTTTTTTTTTTTTTAACATGATTTGTTTTTGTTTTTTTTTATTTGCTTTCTGTGCAAAAAAAAAACACAGCTGCTGCGAACTGGAAGGCTTGTTGCAAAAAAAACCCACAGCTGCTGCGAACTGGAAGGCTTGTGAGAGTCATTTCCTCTCAGGTCTGTTTATAATAGTGATGTCCCAGGTCTGCATTCTTTTGGCTTCCATTTTGACCTTTTTTTAAAAATCCAGGATCTTTTCAGCCCGTTCTAGACTTCAGGACATAAGAGCAACAACAATAAACGTGTGGACACAGGTGGAATAATCAGCCTGGTGCTCACGACTCACATGTCAAAACTCCAAAGACCAAACTAAATAGCGCTTGACACCGCAGTAAGTAGTTCACAGTTCTTGTTGTTCATCCAGACAACAACATTTCTTTGCTCTATCTAAGGTTATCTTTCTCTGAGTTTGTTGCTTCAGTGATCCGGCAAGATTTCATTGTTTGTTTATATCAAAGCTGGAACAAGGCTGCAAAGATCACTGACCAATCACCTCAGCTCATTGGATGTGAATAATGACCGATTTACACTCAAAATCCTGTCTACTGTATCTGTAAGCTGAAATCTGAAACATTAAACTGGTTCAGTCTCGTATGGAGTATGGTGTCGAAGCCGTGTCGTAAAGGAACAGTTGCGGTGTTGCCTTGACTGCTTTGCAAGAAAAGGAGATCTGTTACACCACGTACCGGTCCCTAGGTCCCATACCGGTCAATAGGTCAGGTACCGGGCCACAGTGAAATACAGTGCAATAGGTCATTAGGTACCGGGCCACAGTGAAATACAGTGGGAAGAAATGTACTTCTGTTTTACCAATAATATATAATATAAGTCTAGAAGATGTTTTATTATAAAAATACAATAACAATGACGCAGTATTACCGGTCCGCAGTAATAGCTGATACCCGCCGACTGGTCCTTCGTACAAAAAAAAGGAATGGACCGCGGCGTTATACAACTCTGGTTACAATTTTTAAGACTTTTTTTTTTTGACAGTATCACCATTGTTTTAACAAAGTCATGTGATGTAAAAAAAATGTTTTAGGTGTGGCAGCAGGTTTTAAGACTTTTTTTTTTGACGGTATCACCATTGTTTTAACATTGTTTGTAGAGCCCAATGATACTTAGACAGATGATAAAGTGGTTTATTTTTAAACAAAGTCATGTGATGTAAAAAAAAAAATGTTTTAGGTGTGGCAGCAGGTGCAGTGCTGTCACCTAACATTAAATAATATTAAATGTTACCTGTTGCATCAGAATCGGTTGTTAACATCTGGATGTGACATCATGTCCAAGTGAGGTCAATGTTTCACTTTCAGCGACATACAGTATACTGACTATAACCTGGTGGTTGGTTTTAGTGTTGCGCTAAAGTTGGCTCAGAAGCAGACCAAATATATGTACAACACAAAGAAGACACAATAATTAATTTGGGATTTGGCGCCTAGGGGTTGACTACCAGTTTCTCTTATTGGAACTTCCTTATTTTACCCTAGAAATAACAACCTTGAAGTACCATCGGAACACTCATATTCTCTAATGTAGCTTGTAACGTTACAACCTAATTTTGCATTCATCGAGCACAGCTAGCTTATATGCTATTAAACGCTATGCTAAATGTCTCAAATTGACATTTTTATTTCCAAACTAAGATGAAATGCTTATTGTTACATCACAACAAAGTTGATTGACATTGACAAAACAGCTAATCAGTATGTTATAGTATAAATAACCATCCTGTTTTTTTATATATATATAACAAAATGACCTCCAGATGAATTCTGACCAAATACAACGGTCCTTTAAAGTGGTTAAAAAAAAAGAAAAAGGTTCACACTGATCATACAGGTTGTTATACACAGAGGTCAAACAGCTTCCTCTTGTGGACAGTCTTATAACAGCAGGCGTGGAAAGAAGACTAGAAATCCAGTACAGTATAATAGAGCTGGGGACACCAACGTGGTAGTCCCCATGGACTACGTAAGGTGCCAGCAGCGGATGTTCTTAAAATAAAACAAGTCAACGAGGGTCAACGAGGGTCAAAAATTGTACCTTTACTGTGATTTTTCATTCAGTTACACTTGCAATGATATTCAATGGGTGTAATGGCGAGAATAAGAAGGGTATCATTGTATGATTATTTTAACTATTGTTTGGGAAGTTTGTATCAGACAAGTAGCTCTTCATGTTACGAAGAGCCATTGAAGTAGCCCTCGGTTTCAAAAAGGTTGGAGACCCCTGGTGTAGAGTCTAGGAAACGGGTCACCAACCTTTGTTGATACTCGAGTGTACTTAGTAGGGATGTCCGATAATATCGGCCGGTATTGCTCTCAACCCAGCTTTTATCAGAAAGCGGTAAAAATTGGCGCAGTATCACGTAATTACGTGATAAGTTTCACGTTATTTCGTGATACGTTTCATGTTATTACGTGATACGTTTCACGTTATTACATGTAAACGTAATAACGGGTATCATTGTATGTCAGGTACCAGACTTGATATTTTTCAAAAAAAAGACTTGATATTTTTCTTTCTAAATGCGGTTTTAATTTGAATATGTGACGTGGTGGGAATGCTCTAAGAAACCTTTGGCCTTAATCTGTATGCAGCTGTCACTCTAACACTCCGCCCCATCCCTTTGCCCCCAATTGTACTCACACTACACACACTACACAAACACACAGCAGTGACAGTGTTTTGTTCAATTGTGTTTTCAATCTTTAGTATTGTATATATTTTCCGATTACTACCCCAATTTTAATGTCGTAAAAAAAAAACCAACGCACGGAATTTGTCATTGACTATAATATAGGTAAGGGGTTTCCCAAAGCTTTTTACATGCCAAGGCTTTATCATTTTCTACGCCAGCTATTGGGAAAACATGGATCTTGCAGGGAAAAGGCAGAAGTTTATTAATATAAATAAATTACTGTAATTTTCGGACTATAAGACCCAATCCTTCAGATCCAACTTCTGTGGTTTTCTCAAAAATCGACAGTGTTATAACCCGGTACCGTTATATATTACTTCTGGTCGTGCTTACCGACCTCTAACCGATTTTATAAAGCCGAATCACACAGCGCATTAAACATGAAGCCCAAAATGACGTTTAACTCTGTTATCGCAATCAGAAGACGATCAACAACAACTGTTACAGTATGGTTGGGTAACCCAAACCCGTGCAACGTCGCATCGTACCCGCAAACACCTGTAGACTCTGCGTCGTATTTTTGAATTGTCGATGTATGGTGCGATGCGGGACGACTCAGACGCATGGCTGTCGATTTTTTTTCGTGGTCAAAAACTCTTTTTATTTCAGGCAAATCACACACTCTCTCGCTCCAAAACTACATCCGCACGGAACTGCGTCAGAACAACAATACGGTGGCCATCCAGAAAAAAAATAGTAACAACCGCAAACAACAACAACAGCGCCCCCTTGTGTCCAACTTAGGTCACTACCCTTTTCCACAATTCTCCGTCCCTTGATTGATCTGCGACTTCGTGCGCGCCCATCTCACCGATATTGTCAAAACCCAAGTGAAGCAAACTAATCCGGGGCTTGCCATCATTCCGGGTGGATTAACCAAAGAATTCCAACCGCTAAATATTGGTGTTAACATGGCGTTCAAAGTTAAATTGCGAGCTGCGTGGGAGCATTGGATGACAGAAGGCGAACGCACATTCACCAAGACAGGGAGGCAACGCCGGGCGAGTTACGCCACTATCTGCTTATAGATCGTGGATGCCTGGGCTACGGTATCAATCTCAAATGTCGTCCGAGCTTGCACGAAGGCCGGAATCACCGGGCATGCTTGATTGTTTTGCTTAATTGTTTTTGCTTAATGCGCCTTATGGTCCGAAAAATACAGTATATAATTAGGAAAAGTTTGGCTGGCCGGATTAAGAAGCTGAACGGGCCGCATCCGGACCCCCGGGCCTTAGTTTGCTTGCATTATCAGTGCATGGTGGTTTAAAACTACTGATTTGTCATTCGTCACGAATACTAAATGGACTGTCAACAGGTTAACGCACACAAATCCATCCAGTGAATACACAAACGCAGTCATCAGAATGTACCAGGAGGAGGAGGAAATCTGGCAGAGAGCTGAGCTGAGTAGGTGTGTCGGTAGGATGGTCGTGGGTGTGCAGTTCAGCTGAGAGTAGCTTGTAAAGACAGCAAGTCATGTCGACCCCGAGTGGGCAGTGATGGATCAAAACAACAGACTAGATTTATCCTGTCAGCCCTCCCCCCCCCCCCCCCCCCCTACCCTTACCTCACTCAGCGTCTGCTGCTGTCGCTCTGTCTCTGTCACACCTGCTCAACGGCAGATGGCTCTGTGTGACGTCGGGAAGATGCGTCACTCTCAGACTAATGCTATTGACAGGAGGAACAGAATTTCGGGAAAGCTTAAGCTACAAGGGAAAGGCTTTTTTTTACGAGTTTCAAATAAAGCTCATCTTAATTTTTTCTCTTCCTCTTAAGCGGTCAGAGCAACCAGTAGCTGAAATAATGTACACACACACACGCAGAGTATCTCCCAGCTGATTTGTTTTGCATGTCGGTCGTCTCATGACCTCCTGAAATTTACACAGATCCACTGAGTATAGCAGTTTCCATAGCAACAGCAATAGTGACGACGAGTGGGATGGTGATGGTGGGAGTGTTCGAGGGAATCTATGTGTATGTGTGCTTTATTTAATGTAGACTAGCACTCGTTCATTCATGCATCAGCCCCCCCTCTCTCTTTCTCTCTCTCTCTCTCTTTCTCTTTCTCTTTCTCTCCCGACCCCAATGTGTTTCTCCCTTCTTTCTGTTATATTTTTCTCTCACTCTCCAGATGGAAGAACAATGCTGCTGACTGCCTGACTGACTATCTCCTCATCATACCTTCTCCTCCTCCTCCTCCTCCTCCTCCTCTTCCTCTTCCCCATCTCCCACTCACAGTACAGCTGGAGGAGCCAACCGCTAACCAGCTACACTCCCTCATACATAACAGGGATTTAAAAAAAAAAATCACATCCTCACACTTGTAATCAGATGTCGAAAGAAGATTATCTCAAGGTCCCCACCACCATCTTGTTGCACAGCCGGGGGGCTACTGAGACAGAGGAAAGGGCACGGAAGAGGAGGACAAGGAAAGCAACAGAGTGACGAGGGGGGGCTTCCAATAAAAAGGGAAGAGAAGGAGAGATCACCTGTGGAAGCGAGGAGCAGAAGGACGCCGACGCTCTCCATCTCCATACATCTAAAAGGAAGATGAAAGAAGCAGGGGCAGAGCCCGAGCAACGAAGTGATCACTGTGAGAGGTAATCTGCAGGATGAAAATATTCGAATGTTCTCCGGTCGTACGGCAAGTAATCATTTGTTTAACCAACTGGATGCTAGCTAAGAAGTGTTTATTCTTAGCTAACATACTGCATGAGTGTGTAATCACCATAAGCAATACACCTCCCCCTGGAGGGCAGGCTGTAACTGCCAAACTATGTGGCTGTAACTACTTCATAACGTTTTTGCAATTGATTATTATTTATTATTATAAGTTAAAAATATTGTAAATTGACCCATTTGGCCCACGGGCCTTGAGTGCGACAAGTATGGTATAGAGTTTTCTATTGTCACTACCTCCATCTCCAAGTTTGCATGTGCAGATAAAAGTTCTCCCGGTCGTTCGGAAATATTTTTAATAGCAAGCGGGGGGGGGACTTTCATTATATTGTTTTTATTCATGCTTGAACAATAAACCTCCAGTCACTAGATGGCAGCAGAGCAGCGCATTTTATGAATCTATTTTGATCATCCGTAGATTGTATGGAGAATGCTGGCGCCCGCAACTCATACAGTGGTTTGTATCAAACTATTGAATCTTTTTTTGACACAGTACGTTTGACTTGATACTAAATATATCTTCAACCTTCAAACCGTTGAGATAAGGTAATAAACAGTAGTAGTAATGGTTATAATTAGGTGTTATTTGGGTCGTTTTCGTCTGTGAAATTACTGAGATTCCATTTTTTTTTTAATATATTTTAATGCATGCACTGAATGATGTATATCCAATAATTCCACCGGCCATCCATTTTGCTCTAATGCATCATCGTAGATACACAGGATGTTATCCGGAAACATTTTTTTCATTTCACCAAATACACTATATTACCAAAAGTATCGGCTCACCTGCCTTGACTCATACTATGAACTGAAGTGCCATCCCATTCCTAACCCAGAGTTCAATATTCCTATATTATAATACCCATAATTCCTCCTCCACCAAATTTCACAGTCGGCACAAAGCAGTCTGAAATGTACCGTTCTCCTGGCAACCTCCAAACCCAGACTCAAATTATGGTGTGGGGTTGTTTTTTCAGGAGCTGGGCTTGGCCCCTTAGTTCCAGTCCTGACCTGAACCCGATAGAACACCTTTGGGATGAATTAGAGCGGAGACTGAGAGCCCAGGCCTTCTCGACCGACATCAGTGTGTGACCTCACCAATGCGCTTTTGGAAGAATGGTCAGAAAATTCCTATAAACACTCTCCTCAACCTTGTGGACAGTCTTCCCAGAAGAGTTGAAGCTGTAATAGCTGCAAAAGGTCGACCGACATCATATCGAACTCTGGGTTAGGAATGGGATGGCACTTCAGTTCATAGTAGGAGTCAAGGCAGGTGAGCCGATACTTTTGGTCATATAGCGTATATCCAGCTTCAAATACTATCTCAACACGCATCGTGGATTTGCAATGGACTCAGCTTTATGGCAGATGTCTGGCTTCTCTGGCTACTGTAGATTTATTAATATTGTTGATGAAAACAGCTACACCAGGCGTGGTCCAACCTTTTAATAGATGGAGAGTTCGTGTAAACTAAGACACGCATCGTGGATTTGCAATGGACTCAGCTTTATGGCATTTGTCTGGCTTCTCACTAGGAAGAACTGACAAGCTGACTGACACTATTGTCAGTCTAATTCTGAGGGACTGTAGATTTATTAATATTGTTGATGAAAACAGCTACACCAGGCGTGGGCAAACCTTTTAATAGATGGAGAGTTCGTGTAAACTAAGATAAATGACATGCAAAAAGTCATGCATAAAGGCTAAAATACTCCAACGCTTTTATCATTTTTTTTATGCCATCTACTGGGGGAACGTGGGTATTGCAGGGATATACAGTGGTCCCTCGTTTATCACCGTAGATAGGTTCCAAGATCAGTGGTCCCTGGTTTATCACCGTAGATAGGTTCCAAGATCTGCGGCGCGAACTGAATTTTGGCGAAGTCGTGAAACCATATTTATGCGCAGTAAAATGATGATGACTTTTACTGCGCAGCCGATAACTGATTTGACGTCTCTTCAGAGGGTGTTGCCATTTCTTGGGGCACCTCTTCCACAGTTTCCAAAGGTGTATCCATAACAGTAGCAGGAACCGGCTGCAAAACATTGTGATCGGCAGTCGCTTCCGCTGCTTCTTTTTCCAGTCGAAGAGTAGCTCGTAGGCAGTCATGACATGTGGTCTTGGTTTTGTTGCAAAATCGGAACGATCGAACCATACCGTCATCCCTTTCCTGTGACATCTCTTGCAAATCCAGATCCAGGAACCTTGCAAAGTCGTGAATTCAGTAAAGAATGAACCGTGAAATAGTGAAATACACAAACCACCCAAAGGATGAAACAAAGTGCGACTTATAATCTGGAAAATCTTATAATCTTATGTTTAGCGACAAGCAGGAGATTGGGGATTTAGCAATTTTCGAAGTAATTACACTAAAGAACAATTTCCTCATATATCTGGAAAATGTAAGACCCCAACATCTGTTGAATAACAAAGTGAGTATGAGGGTAGATTTTTTTTTTTTTTAATTTTCATTTATTTATTTTCATTTCTTTAATATAGCCATCGTTGGTTTCTGAAGATGTAAAATATTTACATGCTTTGCATTCTTTTTTTTTTTTCCAAAAGGTCTCCTATGGCAGAGGTCAAGCCTCCTGTGTCAGGACTATATTATCAAGTGGAAACGGTTGCCTTGGACAAGTCCCATTCTGGTCAACCTGTCTTCGAGTCAACCAAGGGCTCAACACAACAAGATCAAACAATAACGTCTAACAATAGCTCAACACAAGATCAAACAATAACGTCTAACAATTCAGATCGCATGGATAACAGCGAGCCCAGAGAAGTTTTCATCGTTGCATCGGCTCCTTCCGCGAGTTGTCCTCACGTCGGGGAAGATGTCGGGCAGCAACAAATAGGTTTGACTCGACACTGTCTCCCCCCGGGGGCTTCGGATTCACATATGGTACCCTCACATCAACATCCAGCTATTGACGTATCTCAGTCCAGCGGTGTCCTTCCAAGGCTCCAAACCACCTGTACGCCTGTTCACAGGAGTTACTCTGAATCCTTACCTCTCCTCAAAGAAATGACTCCTTCTTTGAATCTGCGCGGCAACAACTGTGGGCATATTTACTGTCGGACAGATAAGACCGATCAAGAATTCGAAAGCAAATATACATTCGCCTGCAATCGACCCGTGCGGGAACAGCAGTGCAATGCGGTCCCCGCTGTTTGCCGAGGGGCCAGCGGTGGAGAAGGTGGCGACCATCAGCCTCCGTCCTCCAGATGCAGCTGCGTCTTCTCCTCTAGAGCAGCAATCAAAAGTCAGGCTCTTGAGGACAAATGTCATTTTCCCAAATGCAACAGGCCACTCTGTTATGACTCGTACGTTCACCATGCTAACTCCGAGGACACATTTGCCGCCTACTGTCACCCGCAGCCAATCCCGGCAACTTCCCAGCTGCTGCCAAATGCGCCAGTGGCGGAACGAAGCTGTGACGTGCAACGTGCGTTTGTATCTCCTACGATGACAAACCACCTGACGCTGCCTCGCCTGATCTCTTCTGTCAGTGAGACAGGCCTGGACGCGAAACATTTGCTGCGATGTTGCGACCTCAACTGCTCTTGGGTCAGCTCTCTGCCCCCTGGTGGTGCGCCACAATCCCCAAAACCCTTCAGTGGAGCTGTTTGCTGCAACCATCCTATCACGAGAGCCACGACTCGCGACGTCAGCACACTGACCGCACCGAGGGAACTGACGACAGTTGGGGTGCAGACGGAACAAAGTGCTACGCCTCACGTGTTCCCACAGGTCTGTCTTACGGGAAAAAGCAAAAGGGAAACCTCCAGCAGCCCAACTCCTCCGATGGCTGACGACGATGGCTCGAATGGAGACAAGAAAAAGGAGAGTAAGTCTCCAGTAAAGGAGGTGAAGTGGGACGCAGAGGGGATGACATGGGAAGTGTACGGAGCCTCTGTGGACCCTGAAGAACTAGGCCTGGCCATCCAGAGACATCTGGAGCTGCAAATCAGGGAGACGGCGAGCCGTGCAGCGAAGTTGTCGCGACAGAATACCACCACGTCTCGGCACAGTGGAAACATCAGCCATCAGAAGAAAAGAAGCCGGATTATCAGCTCCTTTGGACCCTGCTGTACAGGCACCACCGCAGCTGGTGACTGAATAGTTATAGTCATCAATGGACAGTGCAGCACCCGAACACTGTGTTTAGTAGCCTTCAACGGTTGCTTAATTCTTCAGCCTCAAATATTATACAGATACCGAAGGAAGTTCTTTTAGATCAGTAATTTGCATGCAAATGAGTGGGGAAAAAAAACAAACAAAAATACACCTTATTCGTAAAAGTTGAAAATTCAGGGTTTTTTTGGAAAGTATTTTCACATAAGATTCTAACTTACAGCAAACACACCCTATCCGAAATCATCTGATGATAAATCACTGCCAATAAAAATATATCGCTATTAGCATTAATTCAAAAAAGGTCCAGCAGAAACAAACAACGCTAAACAGTTTTCAAGTGGTCATTTAGTTTTACAGTTTCCAGTTGTTTTTAACCACATTTTCTTCATTGTTCTGGCGCAGTAAAGTACCGTCATTTCCGGACTAGTGAATATATATATAAGCCGCACCCACTAAAATTAAAATGAAAAAAATAATTGTATATATGTAGGCCCCACTTCTCTAAAAAAAATAGTTGTATATATGTAGGCCCCACTTCTCTATAAGCGGCAGGTGTCCACGTTGTAACATGGGATATTTACACAGAAAGATTTTTTAATTTTCACTTTTAATTAAATAAACCCTTTTATCCGAACAGTGCCTGTAACGCGGCTGGTTACACGTTAGCTCTCGCTCCTGCCTCGGCGCCCCGACCGGAGTTGGAATGCACAGGGGAGACTCAGTGATCTGCTCCAGGGCCGAAGCTAACATTAGCTTCAGGGCTAACTCTCTTCACTTTGTGCTCGGCCGCAGCAGATGTAAACAGAAACAGGGAAGTTGGGGTCTTTATTATCAGCCACACTTAACACAACAGAACATAAACAGCGTTTTAACCGCTCCTGTATAACCAACTCAACATCACAGGGCTTCAAACTGCTCTCAACTTTCATTGATGTCATTGATCTAATTCTGTATAAACGTCATTAAAATCCATAAACTGGTCTGGAAATAACGGTAAGTTTTCACACTTTAGTGCACAGTCTCAATACCATAAAGCTGGTTCCCACCCTTTTGGTTTGTGCTGAGCTGTGATATACAATCAAAATGAAACCTAAACTTCATATTATTTTAATTTTTTTGACCATTTGCACAAGTAAAGTATACATGTACAGTAAAACACGGAAGTACCAATCAGATCATGTCACATTTAAGTACTCAAAAATATTTGGCGGTGCCCGCTACAACTTTTTTTTTTTTTTTTTTTTTTTGGTGGCCATTCCCATATTTGTTGTCCATAGCCAACAAAAATACAACATATATTTATTCCATACACGAACCTCCAATAAAGATGATTACAACCCCATACATGTGTAGTAACCCATTTAAATGATAATGCCGTGATTTTGTGATTTTATAATTTGTTTAATTGCGATTTACAAAAATTTCAGTCTAAATTCAATTCTTCAATTGGTCTCCAACTCATCTTTACTTTTCTTATTGTGCTATATGTGCTTCAAATCACAACTCCATTCTTGTAGAACTAAATACCTGAGTGAGTTTCAGTTCAGTTTTGTTGGTAAAAAAAAAAAAAAAGTTAAATACTTAATAGTTATTAAAATCTAAAATTGTCGGGTATAAGATGTGTACCTATTTACTCTCTATCTGAAAACATTTGCAAAACTAAATGTTGGGACTGTTGTTGTTGCTGTTGGCTGATGCTTACCTATCAAACTTCATTAGCTAATGCTAACTTACCAGCAACCACACTTCTGAGAGAAATACCGCTAAACCATGAACTACAGATCAAAATATTTTTTGCTCATGGGCAGTAACAAAACAACATTACCTTTTGAACCTGACTAAACCAGGGAGTCTGATACCTGATGTTCGAATCATAGAGTTAACCCTCTTAGAAATGTTTAAGCTAAGTGCTATACATGGAAACAGTTAAAAGATAACTGTGACGACTGTCTAACATTAAACAGCTATGAAATTCATTACCATCATCTGGTAATGAAGCAACAACGAAAGAATGTAAATGGACATTGCCATTTGTTCGCAAAACTGACACCAAGAAAGAAGGGCACTAATTAGCTAAGCTATTTACCTAAGCTAATTCCAAGATAATGGCCTATTCTTGTTGTACTTATTTCCTGAGTTGACCAAGTTTTCCAAACATCTGGCATAAAAACAACCCTAGTGTCTCTTTCATTTTTATATTGTAAGACTTTCAACACCAGAAGATGTTTGATTTTTCAGGGCTCACTTGAATTTTTTTAATAGAGAAAAACACAAATTATACCTATTTGATATTTGACTCTTACCTTGTTGAGGCAATGGCATTTTCCGGTTCAACCATTTTTGATTGAAATTTTCTTTTTTTTATCGAGATAATATTTTTTATTTCTGTGTTATCTGTTTACCCTCATATATTCCTCTTTACTTGACGTAATGTAATCTGAATGTGGGTTTCTTGTGTCAATAGCTTCTGTGTTGTGTGGGAATTTTGCTCAAAGGAGTCATATTTCCGCTATTAAGACAAACTCAGAATTGAATGAATACATTTTATCCAGTTAATGCAGTGGTTCTCCCACACCCTTGCAAATTGAAATACTCTTGAGAACCTGATAACATGTATATTTTTATCTGTACAAACCACTGTATTAGTTGCTACCACTTAGTGACTGGAGGCTTGTTATCATTCAAGCGTAAGTGGTACACTTATGTGCAGCGTGCCATTGGAACCCCGCCCCACTACTTGAGAGGTACTGTGTTAGATTTAGCTTAAAGACTTAAACACCTAGTGTTCCTGTTCATAAAACAACAGCTAACAGCCAAGAAAGTATAAATATCAGTTTTCATTTTTGGGAACCAATATTTTATATTTGCAGGTAAATCTTGAAATGTATGTTTTCGTTTAATGCTTGTGATCATACAGTAATTGTTTTTAATTAACATCAGCTTGTGGCAGGACATTGACGGTTTTTCTTTTCTACCACCAAAATGTTACACCTCAACTCTTCTCCTTTTTTTTTTTTTTAGTTTCTCGATAATATGATTGTCAATATTGTTTTTTTGTGTACCCGGCAAATTAATAGAAAGGACTATGAAGTACAATCTGCGAAATTAAACGATTATTCTTTAACATGAGATACTATATAAAAGGGTGATGAGTTAATTGCTGTTGTAATCCAAACAGTACATTCAACTACTTGCAGACCTAGATCAATGATTCTGGAAAAAGGTAATAGCGTCCAGGGAATTAAAAATATATATATGTATATATACACACTTGCTCTCTCTCTCTATATATATATTAGGGATTTGCTGATATCCGATATGCCGATATTGTCCAAACGATTTCCGATTCCGATATCAACCGATACCTATAAAGCGGGGCAGTGGTGGAAGTTAAGTGTTTACGTCTCACTAAGGTGATGGGTTAAAACAGTGTTTCTCAATTATTTCTGCAACCCTAGGGGACAGAATTAAAATACTATTGAACACCCGGTAATGGTTGGTATGAGTTGCTGGCACCAGCGTTCAAGAATCAAGAATCTTTATTTCTCACCATGACACTGAATGACAGTGAAGGTGAAATTCTGCATACAATCCCCTGATTATTATAATATAGATTCATAAAATAAGCTACAATGCTGCCATCTGGTGACTAGAGGCTTGTTTATCATTCAAAATGATCTGTGTTCACGTGTTATGAAGGAGTTAACTGTTAGGAGTGGGGGGGGGGGGGGGGGGGGGGGGGGGGTTGGTCTGTAAGTAGTGTTTGGGCATCATTTGGAGATCGGAGGATCCCTAATATATATATATATATGTGCATATATATATATATATATATATGCACATATATATACAGTATATATGTGTGTGTGTACATATATGTACATATATACATGTATATATATACTGTATATGTACATATATATACATATATGTATATATATATAAAATCTACATATAATAGTCAAAGGATATGAAAACCTTTTAATTTAAAATCCGTATTTCTAATATATATTGTGTGTATAATAAAGTATAATTTTATAGGTTATTATATATATGTATTATTGCTTTATTATAGGCTAAAGCTTAAAGCTTTAATAAAATGTCTGCGATTTGTCGCCATAAACACCTCATCTGCTTCAGGGAGTCATAAATAGTTTGGTGGTAGGTCTCCAGGGCCTCTAACGCTCAGTAAAATTGTTGCTTATAGAGAGACCTCGTACAATCCTGGTTCTGGTTTTACACAGGAATTATTGAGGTATATAAAATGGTGGCGGTTAACATGTTCTTGCGCTCTAGATGTTCTCCTATAATGTTAATGCGGCAATAAAACAACAATAAAACAAATGTTTGATGATTTTTCTGTTGTAACAATAAACAATAACAAAGATTAAATTATTGACTGCCATTTCTACTGTGCATTGAAAATGATTTGTTTCCACACAATTTGATCAAGCCAATGAATAATTCAATAAGGAAAGTTATTTTACAAATCAAACTAAATATTATTATATTCTCCAAAGAAGATGTTTAAATATGTACTACCTGTTTTTATAAAACTTAAAGACTGTTACATACAAATATTATCTAATGTCATCAGAGATTCAATTAAAAATGGGGTTTTGTTTCAGCCCGCTGTGATCACCCGATCATCCGATAATTTCTTTTTACTGAAGACAAACAAGAGGAAGACAAACAAGAGATCCTAGTCAGTGAGATGGAATCATCCAATCTTTTTTTTTTTTACTGAAGAAAAACAAGAGATCCTAGTCAGTGAGATGGAGAAGCGGAGAGGTATATTATTTGGTAACTTGTTTGAATTGAAAAAAATTTAAAAAAAGTTAGCATGTGTGTGAGGCCGTAAACAGCGTTGGGTCAGAATATAAATGATATGTTGAGTTACTTTGATTACATGCATGTAGCTGTAAGGCAACATATGTTTCAATAGTAGTCTTAGTAGAGGTTTAATCTAAAAATGGAACGACATCTACGCTTTTATTATTTCATTTTTCTTATTTTAATCGCTCATGATCTATCCAGTATTCTCTTGTGTTTACATATTCTTTTTCACTTTTCACTAAAGACTTCAATTACGCCAGTACTACTGTTGCTGCTAAAAATTGTTTACAATTATTCACAATTACAATTACTTTATTTTTTTACTTTATTACTTTACACTACTTTACAATAAAAATGTTTTCTATTGATCCACGTCCTACGGATGTGACGTAAGTACGGCGTAAGTGGGGGCGGGTTTTTAAGCTAATGAAAAATGGCTGCGTCCAGGAAGAACGTGGATGAGATTCGTAATCGTGTTATTTTGGGGGAATTTGGCGTAAGAAATGTGAGTGAATATCTAACATTAAAGACGCGTCTTGGCGCAGCGCACCGTTGTAAATATATTCGATTTTTATGCATTTACTGTCTTTTATGCTGTTTTGAGCTAACGCGCGTTGACAGCAGTTCACCACAACACTGCGAAGAATGTCTTGAACCCATGCCCTTTTTAAAATTTATAATCAAGATAATATTAATTTGTTGTTATTAGGTTCATTCTACAGACTTCCCAGGGAACTACCCAGGACACGATGACACCTGGAACATGTGGAAATTTCAGAAGGTAAGTCGTTTAAACTGACATAAACAAACGCAGAAAATAAGCTTTTCACGTGATTTCTTGTGTTCACTAGTAAATAGAATGATTGAATCCCCAAGAAGAAGAAAAACAAACAAAACAATGTTCAGACTGTACTAATGTTTTAATGCTTATCGATTAATTTGCTTAAGAAGTAAATATAATTATTGACAATGTACAAGGTTTGAAGTTTCAAATATAAAAATACAATCACGTTCTGTGATTTTTGTCTGTCATCTTTGACTCAAACAGAAGTTGATATTAACACATTTCTATGTGTTTCTTTTCAAATAGGTACTTTGTATCTAAAGTAAACAAAAGTCAAATTTGGTGATGGAAATTGTTGAGTATGTGAAAGCTTTACTTGAAATCATTGTGTCCCCTCTGTTTGCAGAACTTTAGAATTGACATGATGCACCTGGATGAGAGCACTATGGAGTTTGACATGGTGGGCATAGATGCGGCCATTGCTAATGCATTTAGAAGGATATTACTGGCAGAGGTAGGATTCTTTCTTTTACACTAATATTTGCACACCAAAATACAAAATAATAGACACAGTATATGCGAGCAAAAGTTGATGAAAAATAGAATTAAATATTAGAAATGTTTCTATTTTAATCTTAAGACACATTCTGAAGGAACCGGTAAAAATGCGTCCCACATTATCTTCGCTCAGCAACGCTCCTGTCGTGCACATGTTTAATTAAGTAAAAGGTCAATTTATTGTAGTTAGTTGAGGTGCAATGCTCTCACTTTCAGACAACAGAATATGTACATACTTAAAATTTAATGAAATGAAATAAAATGCATTTCATATAAACATGATCATCTGCTATATCTGACCAAACCAAATCACACGAGTAATTTATACAGTTGTGTTTGAACGCATACAGATAGCTCAATTTTCAGATGAAGACGTTGTACCTGTTTCTGTCTGTTTTCCCCTCTTTTTGTGTGTTCATAAAATCTGCACCTATCCCCTTAGGCCACTTTAGTTTTGGCATTGCATTAATTCTATTAGTACTGTATTTATTATGCAGCATTAAATGTTCTTTCTTGTAGGTGCCCACCATGGCTATAGAGAAGGTGTTTATCTATAACAACACATCCATTGTCCAGGATGAAGTTTTGGCCCACAGATTAGGTCTCATTCCCATCAAGGCTGACCCTCGCCTGTTTGAATACAGGAACACGGGTAAAAAACAAACTGCTTAACTGTGACATAAATATTAGAAAACTATTGTGCATCAGTTTTATTTCACTTGTTTGCATAGTGCTATTTAGTGCTAGTACATAGTGCTGTGTCGTGTTATGAATCTGAATCTTTATCATACTTGACCTCGTCTTTCTTCATTCACCTCAGCTCCTGAAGCAGAGGCGTCAGAAGCAGAGGGTTCAGAAATAGACACAATTCAACTACAGCTGAAAATTAAGTGCAGCAGGAACCCCAAAGCCAGCAAAGAATCTTCAGACCCTCGGGAGCTCTATCTTAACCACATGGGTGAGTAACAACTATTACATATTAGAATCACATGCCTTAATAAAGCAAATAAATAAACTTTAATGTAATCCTTTCTATTTTCCTGCAATCTGCCCCTTTGAATCAGTTTATTCCAGGGACATAACGTGGGTCCCTATTGGAAACCAAGCAGATGTGTTTGCAGATTCTGTAATTAGACCAGTCCACGATGATATCCTGATTGCTCAGCTTCGACCAGGACATGAACTGGATATTGTTATGCACTGTGTCAAAGGAATTGGTAAGATCTTATCTCTTTAGCCTGATAGCTCATTTTAAAAACAAGGACTTT